GATTACAAATGATATGGGTGTTAAAAGGCTGTATATATGGACACGAAGATTCATATTTTAATTGTCCTTTGTCAGAGAGTGCAGCTTCATCTGGCACATGGGTATATGAGGAAGACCAAAAGCTTAGACAGGTGTACATGACAGATTTTAAGTAAACACCTAAAAAGGACAACATTACATCTCACAACATGCTGACTGGTGTGCTGAGAGATTCAGAAGGGGTGTACCAGGATTATCCGAAACAGTTAACATTGCTGCTTTCACATGCTTTCTATTTCCATTTGAGAAAATCTTTTATTCTTTGTGGGATGTGAGTTTCACTGGTAAGGCCCTCATTTGTTGCCCATCCCTAATAACCTTTAGGAACCAAGGACTGGTTTAAGCAGTTGGGGTATACAGTTAGATTACAGTATTCAAGAATAAATTATCACGAAAAGACCTTTTACAGAATCATTGAATCCCGACTGTGCAGCAAGAGGCCATTTGACCCATCAAATCCACACCGACCCTCCGAAGAGCATCCCACCCAGGAATTTTGTTAACTCACTACAATATCAGGTGGCACAGCAGGTTTCAAGATCATCCTAGCACCCGGTGGATTAGCACTGGAACAGGTTAAGGAGCGGGTTATCTGCATATGTATTCACTTGATTGTTGAATAGCATGTATAATAGATGGACCTAAAGGAAGGAAAGAAATCATAAAATGATTTCTCTCCTACAGCCTATATTCCTGTTTATAGCATAAGCTTAGAACTATCTTTGTCTCTCAATGTCAGTCAGTGAAAACTACCGGCTGGTGGGTGATAGCCAATTCACTTTCAATCTAATCAAATCTTTTATTGTCATCATTAAAAAATTGCAAAGCCTAGTAATTCCTGGGGGTGATTCAGATCTGGTTGGTGAGTCAGCAGAAAGATAGTTAATTGCCTGCATCAAGGCTTGTGGAAGATAGCTTGTCCACCCTCACTTGGTGAAGTATGTACTGTGTCCTTCCCGAGTTAGCAGGGACAGCAACTGAGTTAACACTTCAGTCTGGTATGACTCTTCACAGAATAGAAGAAGAGTTACATTGTACTCAATATTAAATTTCTCTCTCCGCAGATGCTGCCAGGCCTGCTGAGTTTCTCCAGCATCCTCTGTGTTTGTTTCAGATTTCTAGCATCCGCAGTATTTTGCTTATTTTTGGGTGCTACTCCCTGGTTTCATCTTCTGTCCATTCTTTTACTTCATTTGGTAGATAATTGGCCATTTCACCCATTGAGTTCTTGCAGACCTATCTTCATTAATCCCATGTTCCAACACTTCAACATGTTGTGATATTTCAAGTGGTTATTCCTGTCCCTTTTAAAGGTTCTGAGGTTTTCTGTGTTTATGACTCTTCTAGGCAGTGCATTCCAGATTCCTACCACCCTCTGCGGGTCGAGAGTCATATGAAGGTAAGGATGGCAGTTTCCTTCTCTAAAGAACCTTAGCAACTAAGATAGGTTTTTCCCAACAACGATCATCATAAAACTTTTAACTCCAGATTTTTATTGAATTAAAATTTCACTTTCTGTCATGGTGGGATTTGAATTTAGGGCTGAATGTTGCTGGAACATTATCTGGATCCTTAGATTATTAGTCCGGTGACAATCCCAGTAGGCCATCATGTCCCCAGTATGATTGGCTATATCAGCAACTTGGTTAAATGTAAAATTTCTTGTGACCAGTGGGGAAGTGGGACTATAAAAGGAAACAGTGACCTCCTAACCTGTATCATGACAACAGAAATGCTTGCAGTGTCTTCTGATTATGTGGGTAAGGTTGACAGCTCTGGTTGCATGCATTATAATTACATGAGCATTCAAACAAGGAGCAGTAGTAAGTCATTCAGCCCATCATGCATGCTTCACCATTTAATAAGATCATGTCTGATCTGAAGGGAAAACTCTGATAACCTTTCACTCCCTTGCTCACCAGGAATCTATCCATCTGTGCTTTAAAAATATTCAAAGACTCTGTTGCACCATATTTTCAGGAACTCATGACCATCTGTGAGAAAAAGAACTGTTTTACAAGAGTGGCTTCTTATTTTTAAAGAGTGCTCTCTAGTTGTAACTTCTCTCCACAACTATCCTGTAAGTTTCAATCACCTCAGCTCTTACTCTTCTAAATTCTAGCAGATACAAGCCTTTCCTTATGAAGATGATCTGATCATTTAAGGTACTAGTCTGGTAAAATTTCTCTGAGAGGTTTCCTTACCAACTACTTGTGCTTCTACGTCGTCGTGTCACTGGTCTGCCCGATATTTTCATTCTTTGGTTGCACCACCTTGCCATGTCATGAATAGAAGCTTCAATACCTGGAAGGATAATTCTTGACTGCGCAGGAAAAAGTCTTCTATCCTCTGTCTCCAATTTAATGCCTCTATTTACTGAAACTTTTCTAAATTCCTGGTCTTCCACAACATTCCAGAAAAGTTAACAAACTTACGTGGGAAGTAATTAAAATCTGCACAAAACTGTAGTTGCAATCAACAACTGAAAAGATGAATAGTATATTTTTAAGCAATTTTACTATAAAGTCAGTCATCAAGAAGCCACAGCATGGTTTCATTTTGGATGGATAGTTTGGGTGCTAACAAGATGAATAAAAATGATTGGGATATGTTCGCTGTACTATTGCAGCAACACACTCCATACAGTTCCTCTGTGAAAATCTCAGTACTTTTGAACATTTTGCCAGACTAAATGGGGAGTTTAGAGTTTATCGTGACCACACTTGAGGAAAAAAAGGTTATTACTTGGGTAAAGTGAACAACAAAATCCTAAGTGCAATGTTTCTTGAGTGCATGTTGGAAGTGAACGTTTAAGAGGGTGCTGAGCACTAGATTAGACTAATTTAGTCTGTGGGAGACCCACATGAAAGATACTAATGGGCCATTATTGCTATTGCATCAATGTTCTTGGTCACATAATTATATCACATTTGTGGATACACAGGCATACTATTCAGCCCAGATGAGTAGGAGTAATGCATTTTTTAAAAGGCCCTTCATCCTTTTGAATGTTTCTTTAGTAAGTGCATACATTTTCACCCTTTAATTACAAGGGTAGTTTGTTGTTTCCCCCATAACAATTTCTTTATTTTCTTTAAGAATCATTATTTCTTTCCTTCTATTCACTCGTGTTTACCCTTTTGTTTTGAGCCGTGACAAGTCACAGCATTAACCACAGCTTGTGTTATTTTCTTAAAATTGGATGTAGTTGAGGGTTACTGATTGAATTTAGTGGTATGGATTTTTCAATGTAATTGTTTTTCATTTTAAGTTAATAGATCTAAGCTACATAGTACTGTAGCTAACACTACAAACTGCAGGTCTTTTGCTCATCTCCCGGTAGCAACTGAAAATCATTCTTAAGTACTGACTTGACTTAAGTACTAATGAAGAGAAATCAAACTGACAGAACCAGTTGAATGCATTATTACTGAAGCTTCAAAGCACTCTTCAACAACAACTTGTATTTGTAAAGCACCTTTTAATGTGTTAAACATCTGAAGGCAATTCATGGAGTGTCCAAAAACAAAAAAAATTGAAACCAAGCCACTTAAGGAGATATTATGGAACATTAGAAGTTGGTTTTAAAGGTGTCTATTAAAGGTGGAAAGAGATGCAGAGGTTTAGAAAGGGAATGCCAGAGCTCAGGGCCTTGCCAGCTGAAGGCACAGCTGCCAGTGGTGGAGCAATTAAAACTGGAGATGCTAAACTAGCCAGAGTTGGAGGAGCATAGATACTTCCCAGGTTTTGTTTTTACTCAATCGTGGGACATGGCATTGCTGACTGGCCAGCATTTATTGCCTTTCCTTGGTTGCCCTTGAGAAGATGGTGGTAAGCTGACTTCTTAAACTGCTGCAGTCCATGTGCTGTAGGCAAATCCACAATGCCAGATGGAGCAGATTATACACAGAGGGACAACGAGGCTGTCGTGGAATGAGAATTTTAACACAGATGTTGTTTAAACTGGAGTCAATGAAGGTCACTGAACACAGAGGTAATAGAATTTTGGATGATCTCAGGTTTAAGAAGAGGAGAATGTGGGAGGCCAGCCAGGTGTTGGAGTTGTTAAAGGTCAACAAGAATGTCTTTGGCATTCAGCATTACAACTTCCGTATCAATGAGAATGCAATGGATTCACTGAGCAAGGACCGTGGAAGGGAACAAATGAGTAAATTAAGATCAAGAGTACTGGTAGATTAAAAACCCAAATGAAGAAAGCTGTTCTAGAAAGAAAGGGATTAAGATTGTTTAAATAACAGGAATGTTGCAATATGCAAAGAATTTAATGAATAAAGCCTGCACACCCACTTAATCTCTTAGAACACTGTTTAGTAATTGTAAAAATCCTCTCAGTATTCTTTCTTACCACCATTTTATGAGACATTCTGGTCACTTAAGACACAAGATTTTTTCTTATTCAACTCAAATAGTCAGAAATCAGCTCTCACCAAATCTTATGCTATTCTTGTGTTGGTTGGATGAAAAGAATCATGCACAGTTTCTGTACACTTTTAATTAGAACAGCTGCTTTAGGCTTTGGAGGTGGGCCTATCGAGGCAGATGGTAGTTGATTTATGCCTTACTGTCATCTCCACTGATTAGATCTACTGTATGACAACAATGAACTTTGCAAAGGAGTATGCTTTGTGTACTTTGATCGTGTAGGGTTTTCAAAACAGTTTTATCTCAGTTGTTAAGAGACAACTTCTTGGATTTTGGAGCACAATACTTACGGATGCAAAACAATTAATAATCCCCAATTATTTTTACTAAAGCAGCAGAAGATTCGATCTTCAAAACATTCTTTTAGGTTCTGATGGACTTTAATGTATAACTTTGGTCTGCAGACAATTTGAAAGTGAGCAAGTGTTTCTTAAGGAAAGATGATTTGGTAAAATGGGTTTACTGACAGTTCACAAACTTGACATGGATACAGAAGTTTCTGAATCTCTGGGTCATACCTGCGAAGATTTTAAAAGCCTCTGGCTGTATTCTTTCTCAATCTGCTTCAACTTGTTGCTGGTCTGTAAAAACAAAAGGAGAAATGTAACATGAGATAGGCAAAGAGGAAGAACGTGCACAGACACTCGCTGTTGACCTAGGCGCTTGGCACCTAATCGGTATGCCTGTCACTTAGGATCTGGGCTCTATGCCAATTTCAACGCCCCTTCATGGCAACCAAAAGCACAGGGCCTTGCTTTGATCTTCAGCCAACTAGTCATCACTTGAAAGGAAAAATCTATCTCTGCTGCCAATTATTAGCAAACATGAAGGGCTTTCTGGATGAAAAATGACAGCATAAAGTTTATCAGAATGACTTCACCTTAGTAAAAACAGAAACACATGCTCTGATGCAGACTGTGAAGGTACAATATGACACGTATGCTTTAGAGTGCCAGATGATTTTTAAGAAGAGTCTGGAGCAGTGAGTGGTAGTGATGGGGAGGGATCAGAGAAGGGAAAAAAAAACGAAAAAGAAGCTGCACAGTCAAATCCGCCCGAGGGAAGAAGCAACAACATTCTCTAACGTACAACCAAGATATAGTCAGCTTTAGGAACTTCAAAGGAGTTTATGCACTTAATGTAAATGTGGCCATTAGCAAAACTGTACTCCACCTTTTTGCTGTAAGACCATTAAATATGATTATTACCAACATTATTATAGTTAAAGTAGAGAACTGCCAATTTAATGCACTTTGGAAAAGGGTTTATGCAAATCAAATAATCTTTAACTATAATTATGATTTTCATTGTATAAATGAAACTGCAATACTTAAAAGGAATCCCCTCCATAGTAAATAATGAGTCCCTCTACTCCTGAGCACATCTCTCCATTATTCAACTGAGAGAGTGAGCTGTTCAGCTTGTGATCAGCTGATTTTATATTCCCTCCCTGTGAGAAAATTGTTTTGTCTCCATTTCAGTCCACTCCCTCATGGTACAGCATAGTAATGACAGAATGGTACAGCACAGAAAGCCATTTGATCTAAATGGGCCTGCATGAGGTCTTTGGAAGAACTAGCCAATTGTTACAACATCCTGCTATTTCTTCTTATTCCTGCAATTATTTTCCTTTCAGGCATATATCCAACCCCCTTTTGGAAATTGCTCTTGAATCTGCTCCCACCACCCCTTCAGGTAGTGCATTTCAGAAAATTTGAGGAAGGATCATTTTCTTCATGTTGCCATGGAATGGAGTAAGAGCAGGGAAAAGAATGGAGGCAAAAAAAACCCTGCAACTTTCTTTTAAACCTTAACTGCAGCCTGAATATTTAATACCAAGTTTTATATGCTCGTGCTGCAACACCAGATGCTTGAGCAGAAGGTCATGGAACTATACATCAGGGAGGATCATTAAATGATCAAGGCCAGTTTAAGTAAAATATTACAACATTGGTGTAAATTGGGACGTACACTGGAGCAGAGGAACAAAAGAATTGCTTTCAGGAGACATTAAAAAGACCTGTTTTAACATATGTGAAAATATCACAAGAATGCAATACCTGTCATCAGTGTCTAAATCAGTCAATGAACTATTGGGCTTGGAGATAACCATACAGCCACAAAACAAATTCTGAAAGCTTCTTTTCAAACTTCTCTTCAACACTAACACACTAACAAAAACAAATCAAACACTTCATATTTGGAAACAACAGGTGTTGAAAAGAGGAGAGATGTAACTATGAAAATAAGGCTTCAAATGAATCTACGTATATGGTAGATCTTGGCAATGGTTTGAGTAAAGTTGATAAATATTTTACACTGGCTATTACAGAAATATCTTAAATTCAGCAATGCAAAAAAAAAACATCCACGAGAGACATTACAGCAGCTATCTGGACAATATCAATTTCAAAAACACAGGACACTAGATTATAGCCCAACAGGTTTATTTGAAAACACAAGCTTTCAGAGTCTTACTCCTTCTTCAGGTGTTAGTGAGAGAGGTGGTATCAGACACAGAATTTAAAAGTAAACGAAAAAAAGTTACTTATAAATTCTGTGTCTGATACTACCTCTCTCACCTGAAGAAGGAGTAAGACTCTGAAAGCTTGCGTTTTCAGGGCTATAACCTGGAGTCATGTGATTTCTGATCTTGTCCACGCCAGTCCAACACTGACACCTCCACATCATGGCCGATTTCAAGGCAATGCTTCCTGTCCTCACCATCGCCCCTTCTAAACAGCATTAGTGAACCAGATGGGGTTTTTCCAATAATCAACTGTGGTTTTATGGTCATCATTAGACTTTTAACTCCAGATTCTTATTGAATTAAAATTCCACAACCTGCCATGATGGAATTGAACTTGGTCCCCAGAACATTACCTGGGCGACTGTATTAATAATCTACTGATAGTACCACTAGGCCATTGCCTGCCCTACTGGTTCATCTTTATCCACCTTGCTTGATATATTTTTAACAAATTTGTCAAACAGTTTTCCTTCGATAAAATCATGTTAACTCTGCTTGATTATATTAGGATGTTCTTAATATTTGGCTACTACTTCCTTATAATAACACTAATAATTGTTTTCAGTATTTTCCAACTGACAGATGTTTGGATTAATTAGGTCATAGTTTCCGGCTTCTGTCTCCCTCCTTTCTTGAATAGAGACCTACAATATTTGAAGTTTATCAATCCACTCGGACCTCTGCATTTTAACTTACAATCTATGTATTTATTATGTGTCCAGCCAAATCTTTTAAGACCCTAAGATGCAGGCCAACATGCTTGGAGTTGTCAGCTTTTATTTCCATCAGTTTACTGAATACCTTTCTCAAGGGACAATTTCTCTCTTTCTCCCAGATTTTGTATCTTTATTGGTATGTCTTTAGTGTCTTTGAAGTCTCTACCATTCCCTCATTTCTCATTATTAATTCCCTAATCCTGGTGCCTAAGAGACCAACATCTACTTCAGCAATTCACCTGCTTTTATATGTTTGTAGAAGCTCTTACAGCATGTTTTTATGTTTCTTGCTGGTGTACTGTTGTAATCCATTTTCTCCTTCAACTTTTTATTGCAATTCCTTTTGTATTTATGCTCTTGCATAAGTACCAATGCAATTTGACAAGGCATTCAGAAGCAACTTGAATCACACCAGTTGTGCAAAAAACTTGCTTTTCTGTATCCTAAATGAGGTCATAGAAGATCATAGAATCCCTACTGTGTGGAAACAGGCCCTTTGGCCCAACAAGTCCACACCGAACCTCAGAGCATTCCACGAAGACCCATCTCCCTAATCTACATATCCCTGAACAATATGGGCAATTTAGCATGGCCAATTCACCTACCTGCGCATCTTTGGACTGTGGGAGGAAACCGGAGTACTTGGAGGAAACCCACGCAGACATGGGAAGAATGTGCAAACTCCACACGGACAGTCGCACGAGGGTGGAATTGAACTCGGGTCCCTGGTGCTGTGAGACAGCAGTGCTAACCACTGAGCAACCGTGCTGCCCCAGAGGTGTATTTCTGTCATCTGTACCATTCTTTTGACAAGAGATCAAGCCAATCCATGCCAATTCACCTTTCTAAAGATATTTCAGCTTTTATAACATGTGCTTGTGTTCTTTTTTAAGCATACACAACAAATTTAGGGACAGAGATTTCACTTTTATTGAGTAAAATGTGTTACAAAGTTGGGTAGAGTATTCAGGAATTGGAAGGCAAGAAGCTAAAATGTGTTGGTAAAAATGATTGTGGGAGAAGATTATCGTGGTCACATTAAAGGATTTGAACTTTGTCTGTGCGTAGAGATTTTTAAAATGTAGGTCTGTGAGTAACCGGAGGGTGCAATTACAGAAAGTACTTGAAATGAAACTATTGGCACCAAAAGGCCTTACAGGTGAAAGGCAAAACCTCAGACTTGTTTTGATGTTTTGACAACAAGTTCAAATTTAGCCAATCAATTTAAACCAAGCCCTTAGAAATTAAAAACCTATCAAATTTAAATCTGATTGTGTTGACTGCCTGAACCCAATAAAATTGTGAGAATTTGTTGCGCCATTGGTGGTATTTAAGAATGTTTTTTTTGAAAATCGGCAGAGAGAGAGAGAGAGAGAGAGTGAGAAAAGCCCACCTAGTTTAAAAGTACCACAGTCGTTTAGCGAAAAGTCCTCACAGAAGCAATTACAGAAAGATATTTGTAAAGGAAGATTGTCAGGAGAAAGCAGGAGGTCCTAGCAGACAGTTCTCTGTGAACTTGGAGAGATTGTTTTAATTTATTGTGTTCTTACTAATTGGATTTATTAAGTGGGTCTTGTGTTTATTTGAACAGTATTCCAGTAGAATTTAGATTAGTTGGGAAGTAGTTAGTATAAAGGGGGGAAATTGTTCAGCTTGTTAGTATCTCTTCTAATTTGTTCATTATTAGGTTAAATAAATAAATTGTTACTTGTTATTTATAATGTGGATCAGGGATTTCTTTCATTTAACCATTAATTTAACAGATTATGAGGGGAAAGGTGAGTTTCTCTGGCTGTTTTGGGGGTAACTATTAGAAGGGAACGTCCACTCCTGTAAAAACAGATTGGGGCTTGTATCAGTTTAAGTATCAGAGGAGTTCAGCTGTTCCCCCTCTGTAACAATGAAATGGAAAGAGAATAAAACATATTTTCAACCACTCAGTTTTAATTTTATTTGCAGCCGCAAAATATCATCCAAATTGGTGGTTCTATTTGGTCCCTCAAAGACCATTGCTACACTACAATCTAGGCATTTGGTTTAATTGAAGAGGAGTACCAGGTACAGATATCACAGGGCATTCACTGAGAATATCAATCCAAGAACTGAAACAGACAAATAACACAGGTTTGTGCAGAAACCTTTGGGAGTTATGGTGAGATTGTCAGTCCGTTCACAAGACTGATGTCACATTTGGTGTTGAGCTGAGTATTCAGCCTCATGATCGCATTATTACTAAGACGACCTATTTCTACCACCATAATATTGCTCAACTTTACCATCACCACTACCACAATCACACATACCACACCCCACCCCCACCCCACACCGCACCCAG